GCTGTGACTGGGCGGCCGAGACCCCCAGTCATATGCACCCCCCTGGGACGAACCCACAGGCCACCCCGCCGGTGCGGGGCCGCCGCAGCCGACCCACCGCAGCGGGCCTGCATACGCTCGCTGGTCATCCAGGGGGGACTCCAAGGATCCGAGACATCCAGCCTGTCGCCCGGACAACACTTGCTAGAAGAATCTTCTGAAAAAATCAGGAAGAAGCAGGTAAGCTCCTTACGCTAGGCAAGAAACTGGAGACTTGTCGCAGGTGGGGGGGTTTGGCCACCGGCAGGGGCCGCCCCAGGCTGTAATTGGTCTTTAGTTTTGTGCCTAGCGTCCTTCTCCTGCAGGTGGCGATATTACCCTACAGTACATGATCTCCGATCTGTTCCGTGTCCTTCAATGAACGGGAGAGAAAGTAACTGCTGACACCGACAGCTTGGACACCAACGGCGCAGCATCCAAGGCCGAATTGTATACATATTGCAGTCCTTGCACCAATTGCTCCGCCAGCTCAATGTAGGCGGGAGAAACACACACGTTCCAGCTCCGCACCTCAGTCGCCTCCATCCACAAGACAGCCAATCGGAAGTCCCAGACGCCAGGACGCGTAGGTACTGCAGAACAGGCGCCCCCGACCACAGTCGCAGCACCGTCACCCTGTGAGGAATGCTCTGACTGGTCGGCCGAGCCCCCGTTATGTGCACTCCCCCCGGAGAAACCCACAGGCAACTCCGTTGGAACAGAGCAGTCGCAGCGGACCCACCGTGATGGAGCCTGCATGCGTTCGCCAGTCGCCCATGGAAGACTACAAGGATCCACGACATCCAGAGCGTCGCCCTGGCGACACTTGCTAGAAGATTCAGCTGAAAAAACTCCTTACTCTAGGCAAAAAAAACTGGAGACTTGTCAGATTATAGTTAAATTATCTCAACCATTGGCAAGAAAAGTACACAGACAGCTCAAAGTATCTAAAGGCTCGGAAGGAATATCATAAATCACTTGTGGATACCTCGATCCCCTAGTGGTCCTAAAAAAGAGAAGCAATCCAGGAGAAAATTAACAAAAGAAAATCAAGGGGGAGAGATTGTAAGCATATATTCAACAGTATCCACAGTGAGTGTTATGAAGCGTGTAGGGGAGATCACCCCATCAATTCTGCAACAACGGAGAATCAGTCACTAAAAATTATGTGAAAGCCACCAATTCTATGTACAAGAACCACGCTTCCCAGTAATTGTTATGGTGTTCCCATCTATCATGAAGTTGAGCATTGATTCTTATGTGACTGAGCAAACGCGCTTTCTATAATAATGCTTCTTGGGGACTTCTAGTGTCTTGGAATCACTGTACATGCTGCTAGAATGAAAAATCCTAAACCCCCCCTTCTAGAGTTGGAACCTGGAAGTATGGAAAGGAGAGCAATCTTCAGAGATGCCTGTAACAAACAGGAGGTCACCCTATTGAAGATTTGAAACCAGTATTCCAAAAAGCAATGTGTCCAAGCATAGCTCTCCCTCCTCCACATCTCCAGCAGGAGTCAGGCACAGAGCCACTCCTTTATGAACAATATATGGACTACAAAAGCACCTAGTCACATTTATAACTAACATTTCTCATGGGCAGAAGAAGCAAAGTAAGTTTGTGGATAGAAATATTCCCCTCACCAATTGATAAAACAGCTCATATTCTCTTCATGGAATAGCTGGAGATTCTGTGATTGTACAAGGATTGGTCCTGTTGTTCATCCAATTACATAATGCCTTAAATTAAATACAAGTTTGTTTATTAATGGGTGAACATACACTATCCCCTGCACTGTACAAGACAGGAAGTTAGAGCAGCAGAGCCAGGAAGATCAAATCTGACAACTGCGATTTCTAGCATCAGCCCTTCAGATTTAGTATGCCAAGCATTAGATGCAAAGAAAATGTTTTCCCTCCGGAATTCAGCTTTAATGTAATGCAAACTACAATATACATGTGAAAACTTATAGCGCATGGAAACCAGAGTTGCAGAATTTTGTAGACACAGACTCATTAAAAAAAGCCCCAAAATACTAGAAAAAAAACTAAAAGGCTGAAAATCAGGAATAAGGCGACTCGGAGATATAGAAATATAGCAGTTTAACTTGTGTGCATGATACATCTGTCAGAGGGGTACTTTTCCAACCAATGCATAAAGTTTCTCGTTTATCAAATCATGTATTTTTATTCAATGGGCAGAGAATATGCAGACAGCATGAACATTTCCCTAGCAAACAATAAGGGAAACTGCACCGGTGGGCTGGGAAGTAGCCAAGTGTTTCAAAGGCAGTGGCTGAGTGGGTCCAGGATGACGTCGGCTGTTGCTGAGGCGATGCCATTGACAGCGGAGAAGGCCCTGAATCACAATGCAGACTACCACTTCACAGAAGCTGGGGCCCTTTAGCGGTAAGGCAGCACTGCTCTCTTCACAGGTAGCCACACATTTTCCTGAGGCCCGTCCCCAACTCCAGCAAATACAGGCTGGATAGAAGAAAAAAAAAAAAAACAGGAGCGCTTAAATATCTTCGCAGCCATTTGTCTTCACCTGGCTGCTCAGAGCAATCGATTCAGCACAACAGATCCTCCATGGCGCTTGACAGTTTGATGATCACAACAGATGTGAGCTCAAATCCTCTTAAATATCTGAGCAGCCACGAGGAAAAGATGTTACCAGCGCAAGCCATAAGACACGAGCACAAGCTCTAAAAATATACATACAGCTCTGCCATACAACAAAAAAAATTTAAAAACAGGAGGCAATCATAAGCTAAATATTACAATACAAAATAGTAATTGAATAGTTTATTATTTTTGTGGGCCGCTGCAACTCCATGTAAATCACAGCCTAAAACGCCGCTTTCTTTTTTCAATCTGGCTGGCAGCCGGTGTGCTTAACACAGGCAAATGATCATTGGCAGGATAAGGCAAGGATCATCATGTGCCTACAGCAACTTTTATTTTGAGAAACCTATGCTGATGCTCCAACTTCTTTGGAAATCAAGAAGCAATCATGTAGATGAGAAAATATGAAAGCAGAAATAAACATGTATGTACAAACATTGAGAGAGGAAAACAAGACACACATTAGTTCAAAATGTAATCTTTTTTTTAAAAACTGTTTACAACTGGACAACACAAAATTCAAATGTCATGTCTGCATTCGTTTCAGTTTTAGAAAAAAAAAAAAAAATAATTCATTAGATAGCCATCCTATCAAAATGTCAGCTAAGCCATGCACGCAGCGTCAGGCGGATAACCGCAAACCTCACGAGCGTTAGAACAAGAAAAGTGGCCAAATGAATGCCTCAGTCATACAGAACCTGCAGGTCCATTACGTCAGAGGAATTAAAACAGCAGGGCATTCTCAGGAACGGGTGTACAATTCAGGAACACTGACCCAATAAAAACTGAACAGTAGCTGCATGAGAGCAGAGATTCAGCACTTGTAGGGAAGGGAAAAAGTTCTGTCCAATGTACTTGGTTTCCCAAGAAGGCACTTCCCTACATAAACAACTTTTCTGTAACAATAATGAAATGAAGAAAAAAAAAATAAAGAAAAAATATACGAGTGCTAAACAGGTTAGGATTTTGAAAAAACAAAAACAGGGCAATGGAAGAGCACTAAATTTAAACCAATAGAAAAAAAGGAGAAAAGGGGATGAAGGATTCAATGTGATCCATTCAGTAAAATGTCACTGAGTCTCATCTTTGCCTCTCTGTTTTTCATCAAACTCAGCACTATGGCGGTCGTGGTCCTTGCTTTCATGCTCCCGTTTATGACCTCGGTCCTTACTTCTGCTTCGTTTACGTGGTCTCTCCCTGCTTGTGCTGCGCTCCTTCTTTCTGGACTTTTCCACACTGTCTGTCTGATCACGACTACTGCTCCGGCTACGCTTGTTTGGTTTCTCTTTGTGTCGGTTTGACTTTTCTTTGCTCCGGCTTCTCCCGCGTGCATTCTTGCTAGGGCTCTTGCTCTTTCGTGGTTTTCTCTCTTTGCTTCTGCTCCTGCTATGCCTCCTCACCTTACGAGAATCTTTATCTTCTCTGTGTCGCTTGTCTTCTCTGTCTTTTTTTTCTTCGCTCCGCTTGCGTTCCTTTGAACGATCTCGTGGTCTATCGGAATCCTTTTCCTTCCCATTACCCTTTTTATCAGAGTCCCGTTTTCTGTTCTTGTCATTCTCCTTTTCCTTGTCTCGTTCACGCCGGTCTGTCTTGCGGTCTCTGCTTTTACTTCTCCTACGGTCTATACCACGTTCGTGACTTCGTGAACGGCGTTTGTCCTTTGAGTCGCGTTCCAATCTTTGACGTTCCTTTTCACGCTCTAGTTCCCTCTCAAAACTTGTTGTTCCATGGTGATCTCGGTGATGACTTCTGCTTCGTGACCGTCTGGGAGATCTCCGAGGGCTCAAAGATCTTTTTGGAGACCTGAAAAAACAAAATCCAAGCGATTAGGACATACACCAATTAACTCAGGGAGGGTGGAGGTTTTAAAAACATGGTTTAGAACGGAACACCAAATAGTTAAACATTGTTTTGCTGCAAGAAGTGAAGTTAAAAGAGGCAACTGTACATTCTTGGACCTGTATTTACCGCAAAAGACTTTGTAAAGTGGCTCTGAAGGCTAAAGCATATGAAATTCAATTAGTGGACGGCTCTGTTGGCACCACCTGGTTTGAGAAAAGTAAAATTTCCAATTAACTTTCATCAAAGAAGCCAGGTGTAAAATTGTTGGCCAACCAGTAACTGCAGACAACGTCCAGGTATTTTGAAAGCTCTGGTGCCAGCTGTCGGAATACAATACCCAAATTCTTGGATGAGGGATCAAGCTTTTTTTTCCTCATCCAGTCTGCATGGCTGAACAACAAAAAATCGTTAAGAGTTTGGCCAGCCTAAATCTGAACGCATAGAATCTTGAGAATGAATGAGGAATTAACACAGCTAGCTGTTTTATGTACACATCCTAAAGTGAATGCTAAACGAATCCTTTTTTTAAATGAGTGGGGAAGGATTAGAACCTGTCAAGTGGTTACTGCTATCTGGAGCTCTGTTCACTTACCGTCATGATGACAACAGTTTCCACCAGACCGGAAGTGAGGGGAAAATCTAACATGGAAACAGACAGAAATAAAAAGCCAACAGGGGTTCATGGCTACCCCTAGTCTACTACTATTCATAGTAATTTGTTTTTTTATTTTTGTCTGTTGCTGTTGGAGATTTTCTCTTTCTTCCTGTCGTCACTGAGAAGGTATATTGGGAATTGTGTCTAACAGGGCCCCAGACAGCGCTAGAAACCTGACGTCCTCGTCTTCCTTTATCCCAATCTTCTAATCCTCACACTGAGAACTAGAAAAAGATTTTCCTGGATTACACTTAGTGACACTAAACTCAGGAGTTAAAGCTTACAAATGCATTCAAGTACCTTCAAGGGGAACTTTACCCACATCCTTAAAATACCAATAAACACACCTTTAGAAATGTTTAGTAATGACAATCTACAAACACATACTTCTAGACGATTGCAGGCTTTGTATTCTTTGCATTCCTTATTTCCCTTTCCTTCCCCAGTCTTCTGTCAGTGGCCATTATAATTAAGGGCCGATCACTAGCTCTCACTTTACTTCCTGAAACATGTGACTAGGACAAGTGACCATGCACATTTCCGGGAAGGAAAATGCCTTTCCCCGAGATCTCATGAGATTTCCCAGCAATGCACTGCGAATGTAACCTTCTCAGAAGGCAACGCCTAAGCACGATTACATAATTTGTGCCAACATGTTGGTTTAGCTAATGAATGGAAGATTTTAAATCAGCATGCAGAGCAGCATTCTGATGTGATTTTAAGTGAAAGGGGGGGAAAAGGTCCACTTTAACTATTAACAGAAATCTATCTTGTGCATCACTAAAATCCTCTCTGAATTGGTGCAGAGACCACCCTCCAGAAGGTCCTTCCTTCTGGAGGGTGGCTACCACATGGTCTCGGTGTGTGCGTTTTAAAGTAGCTATAACTGAAAGTAACTGCCGCACTCCTTACCGAATGCACCTTGCGCTGAAGCGACTGTGGATGGCGCCACACTTCACACTGTATATCAGAAATGTCACCAGCACACTAGTGAATAGTGTTAAAAAATAAAGCGTCTTTTATTCACGCATATTTGTCACATCAAAAATTGCAATGTTTCAAGGCCATGCAGAGTCCCCTTCATCAGGCTTAACATTTTAAAGTAGCCACCCCTCCAATTTTACTCCCATGATGGACTATCAATTCAAGACAAATTGGTAAACTAACCATGAAATTGTAGTCCATCACAACAGGAGCGAGCTTGGAGTGGTGGCTACTTTATAACACACACAGGGACCATGGGAAACAAAAGTAACCACCCTCCAGAAGGAAGGACAGTGTCAGCACCAATTCAGAGATTATTTGATGATCTATAGCCGAGTGATAAACAAAGAGATACATTTTTGTTAATAGGATACATGAATGCATTTTTAAGATTTAATTCCCGAGTTTAGTGTCCCTTGATTTCTGTACACATTGCTATAGAAAATCCACTAGAGGATGAGGAACACCTCAAAAATTTATCACTAAAACAAAGTAGGGGAACCCAAAAGCTTGACTAAAAAAGCTAAAACTGAGCTTGGGCTATCACAACCATCCCAAAGTGCAGATACATTTCTAGCCAAGGCCTAGACAGATGTAAAGTCATATAGAAAGGAACACTGCTCAGTATCAACCAAAGTGAAATAAATATCAATTCTCAATTGATTTCTTAACCTAAGAGCAACTTGCAGTCTTTTACGCTTCAAAAGGGTGAATGAGTGAAAAAAAAAAGGGTAAACCTGGATCGCCGTCTTTCAACATGGCGGTCAGCTTCCTCAGTCTCCTCGGCATTATCTTTCTTCACCTTCCTTGGCCTGGCTTTTATCTGCTGGTCTATATGTTTCTGCACAGGAACAGGGATCCTTGGGAACAGGGTGGAAAACCATTCCAGTTTTGTCAAAAAGGAACGTAGCATCTCTCCTATGGTCATGACACAACCTCCACCAGCCTTCACATCTAAGTCCTGTAAAATCAGTTCAAAATAAAACCATATAAAGCCATTAAAAATTTTTACTTTTAATAGAAGCCACACAGATATTCATTCAATATTTACTGAAATAGTGTTACCCAGATCAACCCTTGCAATGGGGCTACCTGCTCATTTTTGTCTTTTAAAAAAAAAAAAAAAAAAAAAAAAAAAAAAAAAATTTGATTGGCTGGGGGTTGAGAGTATAAACTTTATTACTTTTGAACCTAGACAAAAACGAGCACGTAACCTTTGCACTGTGGGGGTAACCTTACTGCAAGGGTTAATAAATTTTTTCCCCCTGGATTTCTTCTTTAAAAAGATAAAAACCATAGTACTCCACAACAGCTGGAGTACCGAGGTTGCCTATCCCCTGTGCAATGCTGTAGCTTTAGAGCAGAACAAGAAACATCATTTGGGGTTTTAGGAAGGTCAGAGCAATCTCATTGCTACAATACATACTTACAAAAAACAAAAAGTATCAGTATAGTCTTATTACTCATAAACGACTTCAACACAATACCTTACTGAAAAGCACTCTAAAGACTGTACATAATTACTGCCATGGACTTACTTGTATTTTCAACCAAGCCAAAACATTTTTCACACATACCATTAAAATATATTACACATATAGACTTTAAAATGAACCTAAAGTGACCCTGTCACCAGAGGCTCAAAGCTACAAAAAGGCATACCAGTAAAAAAAGAGGCACAGGTCTTCAAAAACGCCACCATTAGGCTGCTCCCCCTGGTAATAGGAATTTGACCCCTTTGACTGGACAAATCTTTGCAGTAACTGGGGAGCAGCATCACAATGGCGTTTCAAAACACAGGCCATCAGAAAGGCAAGTATAGTGTCTCTCCTTTTTACAGGCTAGTTTGTTTTTTGCTGTTTTGACCCTGTAGCAACTGGGCCACTTTACTCTTTATACAATAAGGTATTTGGCGATTCAGAGATCCTATAAAGTTCAAAGACAGTATCCATGAATTTCCTACAAGTGTTTTGGTGGTGTGTGCCTGTGAAAATAGAATGTAAAAAGGCATGCAAAACAATAAAGAGGAGAGGTACATGAAAAGGTTTAATCAATGAGGAATGTCTACATGCGTTTTAAATGCCTGTACATTTTATGACCTTTTAGATTCATGTTCCTTTTTCAAAAAAACTTTGATCAGGTCATCTTGATCACGTTTTGGGGGCCCCAACCCTACCACATGCAAAACCACTACCAAGCCAGGGTGACTTATAAGGCTGTTAAAAGGGAAACTATTGCCTATTCACAGGGCTTTTTTGAAAGGTATATATGAAAAGTTAGCGTAGTGTACAAATCTTATCAGCTAGTTAATAAAGTTCTTGTTTCTGTTTATATTTGTACATTGGGCAAAGTACTGAACACAGCCAGGCTGACACTGCCCTAGTGGACTGTGCAAATGTCTTCTGCCATAAAAACGGTCAGCAATTTACCAGCTGCACACCAAACCACGCAAGCGCAGCACAGTGCAGACCCGGCATGCCGAGATGAAGTAACTCCCGTGCGAATGCACTGGAGTTACACCATGGCAGCTGGCCAATCGAGAGGTTGAAGATGCTGAACCCGGAAGACGACCGATGGGTGGTGGTGGTGTGGGGGGGTAAGCTCCTGCAAGGGGGAAACGCATCACCGGAGGGGATCTCTATGTCAGGCAAGTCTGCAATAATGTGCCAATATGGGGTGTATAATACCGTATTAGTGCCAACAGCTCTAGGTTTCTTTTGTTCACTTGCGCTTTAAAGGCAAAACTGTTCAAATGTGAGTGTCACAGGAAACTGTCTGTTCCAACTGCAGAGAGCTGCACAAAGCATGCAGAAAGAAAGGAAGTTTTCAACTAGTTGTTTTTAAAAACAAGCTTTTTTTTCCAGTAAGATTAGCCTTGCTGAAAAATTGTAAATGTAAAATATTTACACAATGTTTTAAAATACTTTAAAGTGACATTAATTCAGACTTAAATTTAATAAATGCATTCAAGTACTTTACCTATTAGGCCTCATTCACACTGGGAATACATGTCCAATCACTCTTAAACAGCCGATCCAAGGAGGGACAGGTGCTGCGTGTGATTGCGAGCAGCAGCCTGTTCTTCCCCATGGGAGGATGCGGCTGTACGGTGTCATACGGACAACCGAACTGCACATCCGTGCGGGTAGGGATGTCCGCACTTGGATGCAGACAGGATGGATCCCGTCTGTGTCCAAGTGCCGACACCAGTACCCGCACAGATGACACCATACAGCCACGTCCTGCTACAGGGAAGAACAGGCTGCTACGCGCAATCATACGCAGGACCCGTCCCTCCTGGGACCGGCTGTTTACAGGTGTGTACGCCCAGTGTGAATGAGGCCTTCAAAAAAATGTATCTTATTTGTGTATCACTCAGCTGTAGATCCTCGGATCATCTCCAAATTCATGCTGACACTGTCCTTCCTTCTGGAGGCAGGCTGTGTTTTTTTCCTCATGGTCCCCGTGTGTTGTAAAGTAGTGATAGATAAGTAGATAAGTAGATCTTGCTGCACTCCTTACCAGATAATTGTAGAAGACCTGTAATACAGGTGGGTGCTTGCAGTGACCATGGACGGCACCGTGTAGTATACGGCAATTTCAAAAGGATGTCACCAGCACTCCATGATAACAAGTGAATAGAGAAAGTACATTTATTGACAGAATAATGCCATTAAAATGCTAGCGCTTTCTGGGCCACACAGGGTCTCCTTCATCAGGCTCAGAATGTCATTCTGAGCCTGATGAAGGGGGCCCTGCAAGCGCTAGCATTTGAATGGCATTCCGTCAATAAATGGACTTTTGCTATATTCATGTGCTATCATGGAGTGCTGGTGACATCCTTTGAAATTGTTGTAAAGTAGTCACCCCTCCTTGCTTGCTCTGGTGAGAAGACTACAATCTCATGTTCAGTTTACTCATTTGTATTGAGATTGTAGTCCATCACAAGAGCAAGCTAGTAGGGGTGGCTACTTTACAACACACAGGTACCATGGGGAACAAAAGTAGCCACCCTCCAGAAGGAAGGGCAGTGTCAGCACCAATTCAGAGATAATTTGAGGATCTACAGCCGAGTGATACACAAATAAGATACATTTTTGTTAATAGTTAAGGTACTTGAAAGCATTTTTACGGTTTAACTCATTTAACAGCGTCACTTTAAAGTTAAGCTCCCTTCAAGTAAGCTTTTTAACTAACAGAGCTAGTGTGAAGGATACCTTCATGATCCACAAGACCAAATAAAGAGCATTCCATCTTCTGTAGGCAAAAGCAATGTTTAGGATCTATTAAAATTATCGGAAATAATGCTCTTGCAATATTTTATGATCTTAGCTGTTCTGCTATAAAGTGTTAAAAAAATGTACATTATAACTATATCTATCATTTTTCCCCCCACCCACTTAATGTATGAATTGACATCCAACAATAAAGACTTGACATTTGAAAACAATGCAAGCGCACTTTAAAACCAGTGGTGTCAGATATTTTCTATCTATTGTAAGCCCTGCACACATTTAAAGGCGAACCTTAAGGTAAAACTTCTTGCACTCACACACACGCAAGTGTTCAGATTAATGTCGCCCAATACAACTGATGGAGCACAAAGATCTAGAGGAGAAAAGAGCAGATTAGCTTAAAGAACAAAATTTCATATTGAATGTACTTTTGGGGAATGACCAATATTACTGTCTGGAACAGAATGGTAAAATTGTGTTCTAGTTTACATTTACAGAATCCACGTTCACAGAACGAGCATGAGCAAACGGCATTTTTCTTCACCATAACAGTTCTTTGCAGCTGAAGAACAGACAGATAGGTAGACCAGCAAAAAGCACAGTGTACTTTGCTCTTTCCATGTGATAGTGTACACAAGGGCCAGTATTAAGCAAAAAAACAGACCCTACTTCTTAACTACTTGAAGACTGGGGCATTAAACCCCCTTCCTGGCCAGGCCATTTTTCAGTATTCAGCGCTGCGGTACTCTGACATTTATTCAGTCGTGCAACGCCGTACTGAAATTGATTTGATTCCATTGTTTGGGAGAGATAGAGCTTTCTTTTGGCGGTAATCACTACTGCGGTTGTTTTTACTATAAAAAGTACAGAAAATTGTGAACAAACAAACAACTGTTTTCACTACATTATGAAACATTTATTATCACCCCAATTTTTTGGTAAAATCTAAAAGACGGGGTCACGTTGGGATAAAGATAATATACATGTCAAATCTTAAAATTGCGGGCGGCCGCGAAAAAAACTACCATACCCGAAATTGGCCACAGACGACCTTTAAAAAGCTTTTAGCGCTCATCAATATAGTGTCATCAGCGATTGATGGTCCTAGGATTATTGCTTGCACTCAGACGTTCGCAGTGATGTGCAACATGTGTGGTATAATCGTTTTTGCACGCAGGCACACCCGACAGGCATTTAAGTTTGTAAATTTGGGACTAAACAAAAATTTGGTATAAAGCCCCTTATGTTATAGAAAATATACAGTGACAAGTCCTCTTTATGGAAACATCAGGGGTCCCCAAGACCCCCGTCACCTAGGAACCCCCCAAAGAAGCTGACCAAGCAGAGATTTGCTTTGTCAGCTTCTTATCTGGCTATAGCAGCCAGAGAAAAGAAAGCTAAAGGCGGAGCAATGTAATACACATCACTTCCGCATTCAGAGATTGGAGGAGAGATCAGCAAGTGAAAGTGTGCTGAGCTTCCTCCGATCTCAGTACAGACAGGCCGAGTGCCGGTTTCTGGGCCCGCACAAGCGAAAGCAGAGTTCGGTAAAGCTAGCAGTGGAGGGGGCCCGCACACTCCTTGGCACCATACAAGCGATCGGGCGGCTATAAAGCCGTTCAAACGCTTGTATGCAACACCTGTTACCGGCTGTTTAAAACTTTGACTGCATTCTGCTAGGTTGCGTGCAAGCCGGAAAAAACAAAACAAAAAAAAACACTGTTCATGTATGGCGACCCACAGAAAGGCACTTGCCGTCCATCCGTTTATTTATATTATAAACGGGCAGACAGCATGTAGTTAAAGAAACGTATTAAGATTTCCAGAATATTTTATTATTTACTGTTGGCGATACACAGGTCATTATATGTAATATGTAAAAAACAGTAAATTGGATACAAGAATGCTCACAGAAAAATTCTAATTTTTCTACATGGGTAAATCAATGCTTGAGAGAAGGTTCACTTTAAAGGCTAAGTCCATCTTTGTCACCATGTTTCACCCATACTTCGGATGTAACATGGTCACATGCCCCAGTACCCCACTTACCTGAATTGCAGGGCACTTAACCCCACCCCTAGCAGCCTGTATTTCTATTTAAATTCAGTATGACAGTGGTGCCTCAACAACAAAAAAATCTGTACCTCTGTACAGGACTGGAGCTGAGGGGGAACGGTCTGCGGGAGCCTGTGAACTGTTTAGTTGCAAAGCTTTGCAGGCTCCAACGCAAAAAAAAAAAAAAAAAAAGGAAGTATTAAATGCACATTTTTTTCCCCCTTTCATCTGTGAGTGTGCCTTTAGCTCTTTTCTGCAAAAGGTGAAATAAGCCTGTAACAGGAAAAAGCGTTGGCTCTGCATTATTAATATATAATAATGCGGCAAAGATAAGGGCTTTTAAGGTATCAAAACAACACTGATAAGCACAAATGTAGGGTAAGATTACATCTTTATACAAAAAATAAAATAAAAATGTGATTGTGCATAATAAAAACAGTGATCCTTCCTTCATATGGTGGCATAAAATCAAGACCTCCCTTAGAGATACCAGCAATATTGATTACTTATCCAAAAGACTATATAGTCCAGAAAATGCAATATTATGATGCCATGGTATCAAGGGGTGCCAATATTCCTTAACACGTTTCACGCCCAATATAGTGACTTCAGGAGGAAGGAAGAGGATGCTCTATAGAGATATACACAATAGTATACAAATATCATAAGTAACATAGTAGCATAAATTAAAATATTGATACAGTGCTTCGTACATGAATATTTAATGACCTGTTACGTTGGTGTGACCGTTTAAGTTACCAATAGACATCAGGTACAAACCAAAAGGCAACTACATAAGCAGTTAATAAGGGAATGGCTTATGAACTGCTTATGTAGTTGCCTTTTGGTTTGGACCTGATGTCTATTGGTAACAATCATATTTTTGGTATTCTAAGACATCAGCTCTTTTCTCCAATGGTTGCCTAAACTGGTGACAACAGTGCAGGGATTTTCCCTTTGGCTTTTATAGATGCACCTCTTCCTTCAAACAGTCACACCAACGTAACAGGTCATTAAATATTCATGTATGATACACTATCAATATTTGAATCTATGCGATGTTACATATATTTGTATACTTACCTTCGTGTATAGCTATCTATATAGAGCATCATCTACCTTCCTCCTGAAGCCCCTATATTGGGCGCAAAACGCATTGAGGAATATTGGCACCCCTTGATACCAAGGCATGATAATATCGCATTTTTTGGACCCTATCTGGTCTTTGGATAAGTAATCAATATTGCTGGTATCTCTATAAGGAAGGTCTTGATTATATGCCACAATATGAAGGAAGGGTCACTATTTTAAGTGCTTTATCACTTAATCACATTTTCTTTTATATTTTTGTATAAAATAAAGATGTAGACTTACTCTACTTTTGTGCTATAGCAGGGGTGTTTTTGATACCTTAAAAGCCCTCATCATTGCCGCATGATTATAGATTTCCTCTTAGGGTGTGGTATCACTTTTGCTCCATATTTATCCCCAAATTCTATATATAGCATTCTCCATTATTACTATGCTTACCCAAAAAGTATACAGCTAGTATACTGTAAAAGTGCTTAAAGAAGAAAGGTCAACAAAGCTGCAATCATTTGCTGTGTAGCTGGTATTACATCTCATACTCAGGATTTATTAGATTCATCATTTTTTTGGAAAAACCTAAACACCATCATAGAACAATGTAAAAAAAAAAAACTGTAGAATAGTACATGTGGGATACTATGAAGCAGAACAATGAAAAGTGGATTACCCTTGCTGACATACCTCTTCGTCATCAAGAAAATCTTCATACCAATCCCACAAATCCGTAGGAGGTTGTGTGTATCTGTAATGGACAAGGCATTCATGTAAGGAACATACCAACTGCAGCAGAGAGAATTCAGGTCTCTTGCCAGACAGGACAGCTGTGTGACATGACAGAGCCGAGTAAATGTCGGAACGGGTTGGACAAAAATACAAATCCTTTGGCAGGTCAAACAACTCCCTAATATGCATATTTAACTTAAGGGTATTTTTGTTACTGCAAATTTGGGTGTGATAAAGGGTTGTGCCACTAATATTGACAAACTGCAATCATTTTATTTTTTATTCTACAGAGTATCTGCTTTCAGGACATAATTTGAGGGGGGGGGGGTAACGCAATTTTGAGCTCTAAAATCTGCGTTTTAACGTGTGCTACAAATGCATGCGAAAACGGCTCTGGCACTGAAAGAGTTAAAGCACTTCTATAGAAGACCTGCAAAGTGCTATGAAATTAAAGTGTATTAGTACTTTGCAGTCAAATCGGGATAACCACCTACTATATGCGTTACATGTTCTCATTCACATAGCATAACTTACACATAGATAAACCATTGATGTTTACATTTTCTATTGTAAAGTCCAGCTATTGTCTGAACTTTACAAGTGTCTGGTGCCTCTCTCACTAGATTCACCCTATTTGCCCTGGTGACCGCTGTCACTGGAATTGAGTTGTCGCCTAAACAGGAAGAGAAGGGAACTCTTCCAATGGGGACACCGTTGTGGTGACAAGTTCCTTATTTTGGAGAGATTTTCTCTCACTTCATGTTGTGTCTACTGTCAGGGCAAGAAGGCAGGGACATCTCCCCAAATGGAAAAAGGTAGCTTATGTTTAGCAATGTTCAACACTACGATATGATAAAAAGGTCACAAGGACTTAACAATTGGCACCAACAATCTGTGTAACAGCTAGGCAAGTTTAGAACCTACTTACCTTATATACATGAAACCAAGTGCTCTGATGTACGGGGAGTCTGTGTGTGTGATGAGACCCATTACTTGTTTTCTTGTCAGCTTCAATGTAAACAGCTTATACAGTAGACAAAATGCCGTTGATACAATGCCTCCAGTTCCAACCCCACGCACCTATGTGGGCAAAAAGCAAACAGTTTCAACAATGAAAAGCACATTTTCCCTTCAAAAATCTCCCCCAACATGGGGACATTTTATTTTTACTTTCAATTGAATAATAATAGTTAGTTCCTCCAAAATACCTGTTTGGCTTGCCTAACACTTTACTTATCCCGTCATTTATGCAGCGGGGGTCCAACTCATTACATTGTCCATTTCCACCTTTGTGAGTGATTAGCACTTATTTTGGTAACAGAGGAGCAGTGATGATGTATATGTGTGCACATTTTCATGACTCTTAAGGTGACCATACACTGCACGATTCTCGTACGAGAATAGCGGGAAATCCCACGATCATACGATAATCGTGCAGTGTATGGAAGGCGTGCGACCGTTTCTAATGTACAGTTGCACGACTTCTGTATTTCGAGCATGTTGGAAAACCAGCCGAGAACCGTACGATTTTCGGCTGGTTTTTAACATTATTGAGTGATGACTGCCGAACGGGCCGATGTGCGCACGCGCACACTGCCCATTCAGCATTGCAATCATGATTGCAAGTACGATCTGCCTGTCCAAGATGCGCAGATCGTACGTTTTTTGAAGTACTTTACAACCCTCGCAAGACAAAAGTCTTGCGAGGGTTGTAAAGTGTATGGGCACCTTTACATTGCAGGCATTATTCATTTTCTTATGTTCAGATACCAGTGCCAATACTTGGCATTTTCAGGAGAACTACCAGGGTTTTCCAGTGAACAGACTGATCTGTCACAAAGGGATGAATTTTTGGACCAGCTCTGCAATTGACTAGTTACTAAGGAAATGCTGAGAGTCGATAGGCATGCGGCATTTCCGGCCTATTCATTAAACTAGGTCACAGAGCATATACATTTCAAAGAGGTTACCACATCAATTAGTTGGCCGATTATTTTTTTTTGATCAATTAATCAGATTAAAAAAAAATTGAAATATCATCCTTAAAATATACAATTGCAGTGTTACAAAACAAGTTTACTTCAGAATAAAACTGCATGCACATTTTATTTGCAATGACAGTGCATTGGAACGCACAGCATTGCGGTACCATGCGTTCTAGTGCAGGCGATCACACTGTGGGTGGGAGGCGCGTTTGGGGTGCCACATGAAATGAATAGCACTGCAACGCACTTCCCGCAATAGGATTTGTCAGGCCGAAACAAAAAATTATGTTTTTCCAACATTTTATCATTTTTTATTTTAAGCATATGGCGCTTAAATAGCTTCAGCCAGGAAATGACCATTGCCGATGGCAAGATTCCGCAGACGGCAGCTGAATGTAAATACACCAGGTAATGGGCTGGTGCAATAGCCAGCCTGCTATTGGCCATTTCAAATTGCAGTAGCCAACTGCAGCCTGGGTATTCTAGGTAACAGTATAGCAAGGAGGGTAGGGCATGGAGTCTGAGCCTGGAGATGGGATCTAAAGCAAGTAGAATCTGAGTCTTGCACATGCACCCTGATCTTTTAAAACAGACTTTGCAATAAAATGCAAGGTGTCACATTTGCACCAATTACCATTTTCCTTGACAATTAAATCAATTCACATGTCAACTGGCAAATCAGCAAACTTTGAATTTTTAGCATTTATCTTTTAGGACTCAAAAAAATATAATCCTTACTTTACACCCTGGCTTCGAGCTGATTTTTTTGTAGTTGAGTGACCTCACTGGGCCTTTTTGAAGGAATACTGAAAAGAGCAATCTCGAAAGAAGTTGCTGCAGCAGAAACCTCTGCCTGTGATATTTAGGATTCCTAGAGATACTAGAAGAGGCAAACCCATCAGAAGCCAGGGTGTAAGATAAGTCAAATTTTTTTGTGTGCTAATTATCCTTTTTTTTTTAACCAGGTGGTAGAATCTAAAAGAGAAGACCTTACATACTGAAGCAGGTCAGCTTTGAATTGAAATATAATTTATTAAATCTGAACTAAAGCTGAAACCACTTCTCTCCCAGATATGTGTAAACAGCCAGCCCATGTACAAACCAAAAATACTATTACAGGTAAAAGCTTTTGCATGAGATATAAATAGCTTGCTTCAGATTTGTACAAATTAAATACTATACGTAAAACAAGAAAAAAAAACAGTATCACAATGTTTATTTCACAACACAGGAGACTTCTGTTAGTTACTTCATTGCGGAGGCAATTAAATCAAAATGAGGAGGCACGTACTTGTACTTACCCCTCCGCACATCCCTGTCTGCCCAGCAGTTTTTCGACTGCCCTTCTCCCATGGTTCAACGTGAGTTACCTAACATAAGAAATACATGGTGTTACAACATTTGCAAATAACACAACCATTGCAAGAATCAAAAATCAGAACTAGACTATTGTTATTGTTAAATAACTGAAACAATTTGGCTTAGCAAAAATGTAATAGGATTTGCAATATAGAAAGTCCACTTTGGAGGGGGAGCAAAGCACCTCTAAGTTATTGCAGCATGCTTACGCTGACACCTCGAACTTCTCCACTTACAGCTCTCAAACTCAACACAAAATGTAGGAGTGCTGGTCCAGCATTGTTTCTTAATATCCCGTATATTGTCTTATTATTGGTAAAGTTTTGGTAATGATTATTGTGACAGTTTTAAAACGACCTTTCATATTTAATTTGCCTTTGTAGTACCTACAGAGATTTGTAAATCGCAGGCCCATTCATACTACTGCACTGTGGTAACATGTTACACATATTGGTGCAAAGCAGTGCTGTTGACTCTGAATCGTACCTCAACACACCTTGACAACAGATTTGCATTACAGTGCGCTACAAAAAAAATGCTGCACGCGCCTTTTTTGGTACATTTAGGTTGTGCATTTACAAGAATAGGCAGCCTTAACGCACTGCACATTAACAAATGTGTTAACTCGTGTCCAATAGTATGAATGGGCCCTTAAGGGTATGTTTAGTGCAAACTTTCCTTTTTGATTTGGATGGAGTAGAGAACATATAAAGAAGAACTCTGGGTAATCCTTTTTTATTGACCCTTGCAGTGGGGCTACCCCCACACTGTAAGGGTTAACTGCTCATTTTCATCTAGGTACTGATAAAAAATAAAAAAGTTATACTCACCTGAACTCCCAGCTTCTCTAGTCACTGAAGCCTGTCTCCAACTCTGCTGCACAGATGGACTGTTACTCAGCGTTCTCACATCTATACAATAGGGGGAATTTATCTAAACTGGAGCAGGCAAAATCTGGAGCAGCTGTGCATGGCAACCAATCAGCTTCTCTCTTCAGTTTGTTCAGTTAAGATTTGAAAATGAAAGAGAGAAGCCGATTGGTTGCTGTGCACAGATGCTCCAGTTTGGTAAATTTCCTTCACGGTGTATAGAAAGTGATGACACAAGGATTCTTTTACAAAGTAACCCTTCTCTGCTCTATCCAGAATTTAAAAATGTTGCCTTTACATACACTAAGGGTTAGCAACCCAGTCAGTTTTTTTCTGTGTAGAGTAGGGCGGGAAGGCTATAACTCCTGTCAGATTTGTATTTCTCTGTTGGACATTTTCCCTTATTTCCTGTCTGGTAAAACTGCTGCCAGAAAGTGAGAGGAAAATCTCTCTAAAAAGAGCACCCAACATGAGTTTTAATGCTTCCACATGATATACAAACAAAATGGCTTTGACATGCACTTTGATTACCGATTATACAGCAAAACATTAACCCCAATCAAAAACGTTTTTGCTAGTTGTAGATAGAACGGCAAGGACATACATCTATTTGACTTTATTTACTTTTAAACATGTACCTAAAAAAACAAACAAGAAAATTCATTCCCTGAGATCAGACATGTATAACCCTGGTGGGATTAAATTGCTACAGAGTGAAGAATTTGGAAAAGAGAGAATGTAATATATTTGGTAATAGTCATTTTCTGGATGCCATGGAAACCGATCTGTTGTCTCCCATCTGTTGCTTAGATGTGGGTGTCATGCACCTCACTTTCAATAATAAATGAGTCATTTTGTTGTGAAGATACACATGTAGTCCTCATTAATCTGTCAAGAATTCGGCACCTTAGAGTCTAACATTTCAAACTAAGAAAAGTGCTGGGTGTTTTTTGCCTTAATGCATTCTCTGCTAGAAGGCAAAAACACCCAGCCTTTAGTACTACTGTAAGTGCTCATTTATGTCTAGGGGTTGTACTAAAGCAGATTTACTTACTAGATCCTTACTCTATTAGCTGTCAGCACTCCTTTTCTCCCTCTCTGCTTTGGCTGTGGAATGTCCCTTGGTGTCCTCTCATCTAATGCAGGTCAGTGGAACCTGCCTTGCACCCAATGACGTCAGCAGTCCTGAGACCGCTGGCACAAACGGGCAGAGGCTGCGGGGACTGGCCTGGCTGCCCGAATAGAGCCAGTGGCAACGAGGATCAGATAAGGAAATCTGTTTAACCCCAGCCCCTAGACATAAATTAGTACTTTTCTCTTGCAGCGGGGTTAAACCACTGCAAGTGTAGTTATTTTGTTTGCCCGGCTATAGGCTTTAAGAAAAGTGCACTTATTCTTTTCCCCACCCTCCTCCCCTGAGGAAACAGAGCCCAACATCCCTCTCTACACATGCATACTTAGAGATCTGGTGCCCAAGGACTCTCACTCCAAAGTCCTTTCAATGCTGGCCTGCATAGTACAGCTCCATAGAAGTCTATCGGATTCATCTCCCATTTCTCTAGAGTCTCTCCCATCCTCTGGAACTCTTTACCCTAACCTGTCTGTCTATCTCCCACCTTGACTGCCTTTAGGCGATCCCTAAAAACTCATCTCTTCAGGGAAGCCTATCTCACCTCAAACTAACCGCTCAACCATCACGTTCTCAAACAATTTATTCCCACACAGCTACCTCGTCATGTATCACCTCCCAACCCCCTTTTAGATTGTAAGCCCTCCAGGGCAGTGCTCTACTTACCAACTTGTCTTGAATTGTATTGTGATTGTAATGTCTTCCTTATATTATAAGCGCTGCGCAAACCTTTGGCGCTATATAAATCCCATAGAACAATAATAATCTCCCTGCGCCTCCCAACAGGGAGATGGGTATTCTTCCTCCTGTCCATGTTGCTGAATGTCCATAGCGAGGTACGGACATAATTGAGAGGGAGTATGTGCAGGAAGCAAAGCATTGGACACGTAATCCATTGATCAAGGTTGCAATCCTATACTGACATCAAAGCAAAAAAAAATAAAAAATGCACATTTTGCATTAGAGCCAGTAAAGCATTGCAACTATGATCAGTGGATCACGGGTACAATGATCTGGCTCCTGCAGACTATTCCTCCAGTTTCTGTCCAAACTGAGGTACAGACTTTCAGTTACAGGAAGGGGGAGGAGTATTAATGGACAAGTTCGGTGACATCACCACACTTGTACACCATTGATAACTACAAGTACCTTTGCCATGGTGACTCATCCAACTTGTAGTCTCTCCAGTCACAGGTTCTGTGAATGGATGACATGACTGTGCGGGAAGATTCACACATAGCGGCCCCTAATAAAAAAAAGGGACAGCACATGGGAGGAGAGAACCACCCCCCATGATTCAGGTAAAGGGGGGTGACCATGTTTCATGTTACACCCTGAATATTGGTTAAACATGGCAATAAAAGTAAACTTGGCCTTTAAAGCACCCCTTTCCTTTGTCAAGGTTTACAGAATCAGCTGCCAAATATGAGTTTTCTGGCTTTTCCCTAAACAGTCTCATTGCGCAACCATTTTTGCTTAGATATGGGGGGGGCATGATGAAGACACATCTTTAACAATCAGAATTTTTAACCTGCCCTACCACTTCCCCCACAAGCCTCAGTTGGAAGTGCCTGCTGGTGCCTGAGACATTAGATTGTTCTCTAGATTCCCATCAGGGTAACCACAGTCAGAATATAATGTTCCAATTCTGAACACTGCTTGTCATTATTGGGCTTTTTCTGAACTCTTTAGGCAGAGATAATTGATAGTCAATTTGTGGCAAATCTGTCTGCGAGCATGCGCAATCCTTCACTTCTGGGCACGTTTGCCGCCATCATTACCTGGCAACAATTGTGACTCCTGTAACTCTATATACCCCAGGACTAGCATTATTTCTAATTTCTTCATTAATTCACATGTTCCAGCCCACCTGTCCTCTATTCTCGCCTAGGTGGGAATGATATACGGAGCTCCTGGGATTTCTACATCATATATCTCGGAAAGCATTGCCTTCCACACAGTTGATAAGAGGACTATGGTCTGGTGGCGCAAGGCTCAGCACATGGCAGGGAAACGCTGGATTCACTGGCAGGAGTGTATGTGTATGGAGGACACCCAAGCATTAGGTAAAAAAAAAAAGAACAAATGGGGAGGGAGGGTTTGAAGTTCCTTTATAAAAAATGTTTTTCAGTGCTCCTCGAAAGCTGATTTTTCCAAGGATTCCCCCGGTATAAGGAAACAGAGGCTGATCTTCAGATGTAGTAAGGAAACCGTGTGTGGCAGACCACAACAAGCACATAAGCTTGTCATTCCTGGCATGAAAAAAGGTCAAATGAGCCTCTGATGATTACTAGATTTTCATTCATGACGCCGAATCTATATTTGTCCCCCTCAGTTTCATCTATGAGGCCCACAGTGATCACTGAGCCCCAGCACACATCAAAGCCCGCCATACCCACCGAGCCAGCGCCGTCACTGAAGCCCTTACCTTAAAGTAGATCTCATCCACCACCTCATGGTACGTCTTCAGCTCATACAGCTGCACCTTGAAATAGGGAGAGGACAAAATGTTGGTGAGGATCATGGGGTTCAGGTTCATAGTCTTCTCATTGCCCCACAGTGGCAGCACGTTCCCAGGCTTCCCTGAAGGCGCCGGTTTGCTCCCACCGCCGCCTGTCTGAGCGGGTTGCGGGGTCCCGGCAAGGGCCGCCGCGCTATTATTCGCCATTTCAAACCTAAGCAAATATGGCCGCCGCCTCACCGGAGAAAAGGAAATGACGTAACAAGTGTGGCAAGAAAAAGCGGAAGAAAAGAGAGAGAAGAGACCGGCCAATACAACCAATCATCGCGCTGATAAATCACAATGCCCGCCTTTGTTGACCAATCCTTGGTCGTTTTCTTAAAAGCCAATGAATGCTCTAAGTCTAAGTACGTAATGTTCGGGGAGTGGCTTTTTGCGTCGTTTTTTTTTTGAAGTACACATCTTTATTTGTAAAGTATGTAGGCAGTGAACAGTGTGAGTAAAGGTTATGCGTACTATTATAACACTAGTTATGAGACGGGTAAAGGTAACTACGAAATTTCCGCGAATACTCCCGCACATGTGGAATATGATCGTATTTATTGTATTACTTTATTCAGAATATTAAATATTAATATTAAAGTCTATTTTAAGCACAGACCCATTTATATTTTAAATAGAGAAGAGAAAAGCTAAAACCCCTGTCACATGTTTGGTTTATGTGATCCTTTGATTCAGTTTCCTTTCACTTATGCACTTAGATAACATCTAAGTCTGGCTTCACACAACCTCTGCAGCAATGTGCAAAGCGTTGCCATTCATTTATAATGCCTTGCTAACATGTGCGTTGCAGACCAGCTCAATTGATATGGTGCAATGACATGCTGGGTGGGGGGGTCTCAGCTGCCGTTGTGATGTGCGGGTCCCTTGTGTGTCCCTGTGCCTTTAAGGAGGTTGGGCTGGCGACCCTTCACCTAATTTTATCGTTTGCTACATGTGCTCCAAGATGGAGACTCATAGGTTAGAGTTAGGACCGCTCTACATAGAGGTGCCTTGGCGCAGCTGTGCGGCTTTCACATATTCTGCAGAAGACGTTTATCTAAAAGCTCTGTTTTTAACCTTAGCGGTTAGACAGGTTTTTTTTGCATGCTGGCTGGTGAGTGTGCCGGGAAACGTTTTGCTGCAGACCAGCACAACACACGGTAATGCACTACGGTGCACCGCATCACAATAAATAGTGCATGAAACTTTTTTTAGTGTATTAGGAAGCCCATTGATGCAATGGACGTTAACATGCACGTGTTTCCAGAGAATGCATAAACTGGCAAACTCCAAGCGACCTCCAGACCATAAATACATTGTATTAGCTAAGAATAGTGGATGGTGCCGCTGTATAAATAACAGTCGTACTATAATTACCAGCGAGCCATGTTGATCAAAAAGACCACATTGCATCACCATGTGGGATATATTGACGTTTTTGTCCAATGTCATAGTTGAATGTACTCCTTTTGGGCAATGTGTTGTACTGGTAATTATACCAGAATGCACATGTGATAACGTATAGCAACCGTGTGAATCAGCCTTTTCCTGGTACTCCTCTTGATAGCATACTATGGGTCAGCTCTGTCCCTCTGACCCCTTAGGACCATTACTAGCCTATAAAAGAAACAGACTCACCCCTGCCTACCCAGTGTTCTAAGTAATTCAATTCTTTGTAAAATTTGGTGTACTGTATTTTATCTGTTGTTCCCTCCCTATGTTTTATTGCTTGCTACATCCCATAGTATGCTGTCCTGAGGAGTACTAGGAATACGGAAAATTGTTATCAGGCCCTTACTGTAATTTTCCCTTCCTGGTTACGCCTCATGACAGCATAGGTTCCCACCCGGTGTCCTGTCGCAAGTCTTGTTATAGGAACACTGGCTTGGGGTGAGTCTATTTCTTTTATAGACTAGTAATGGTCCTGAGGGGCAGAGCCGACCCATAGTATGCTGTCATGAGGAGTAACCAGTAGGGATGCACAGATACCAGTGCCGATACTTGACATTTTCACAAGAACTACCAGGATTGCAGCTGTGACTGGGCCCTGGAGCTCCACCACTGTCCTGAAATCACTAGACTGTAGTGTTTTAGAAAAACTTTCACATGACAATAAAAAAGGTATCAGTAATTGGTATCTGTGAGGACAAGTATCAGTACTTGTACTTGGCCTGGAAAAAATTGTATCAGTGCATCCCTAATATACAGTATCTAACAAATCATACATTAAAACAGCAATGCACAAATCCCAGGAGCCCCATAGCCAATGTTCCTTAAAAATGACAGCTATAAAGGAATTCACACCCAGGGGAGAGAAGGTTGAAAGCACAAATATTTTTATAGAATTGCACATATGGGAGATTATTTAATAAGGAAAGGGTGACACGGATCCCTATAATACCTGGACTTCCCTCCCCTCCACAACTGAGGAGAGATTTAGATTGTATGGGAGAAATGGTTAAAACAGTAGAAATGGAAAATAAGAGGTTCTGTAAAATAAAGGGAATTGCCATGTCTATGTTGTAATAAAGTAAGGTTGAAGCTTCTTCCAAATATTTAGAGATTGTTAGTTAAGCTTCTGAATTATTTACCCTCTGATATGAAGTCTTTGATATATGTTTGTGCCCAGAATGTATGTATGTGTGTTTATATTTATGCATATGGAAATAAAAATATATTGAACAAAAAAAAAAAAATGACAGCTGCCTCCTAACTTGAGTTTTTCTCTAGTCTAGTTTTGGAGCTGGAAAGTATGAGTACTTGAACTTGTACCAAGTACGGTAGTGTGGGATAGAAGGGGTAATGTGTGTGTTTGGCCCTCTGTCCCTCCTGGTATGTATATGACCGGTGCTTCATAATACATCTCTCTCTCTTGTTATTAATGTAGCGCCCCCAGGTCCAACGTTAGGAACCAGAGGCGATCAATATACAGCAGATGCTGACAGCCACTCAGCAACTCTCCTCAGTAGTGCTGTAAAAATAGACCTCTTGGCGCTAAAGCCATTGCAGCACATGCACGTTGACTCAAGGTACTACACACATGCATTAGCACACACAGACATACACACCAAACTATGCACAGCCATAACTCTATGCTGTGGGCCATGAACGTGCAGATCTCCGGGCATGGCCGCATACTTGACCTTCCTGACAGAAGCTGTCCACTAACAATGTGGTCCCACTCCGAGCCCGTGCAGGGATCACCATAGAAGCTTTCCCCTAACAATGCGATCCCACTCAGAACCTGCACAGGGATCACTGTGAAAGATTTACCACTGACAGCGTGATCCTATTCAGAACCTGCACAGGGATCACTGTGGAAGCTTTACCACTGACAGCATGATCCCACTCAGAGCCCCTGCAGAGATCACTGTGGAAACTCTCCACTGACAGCATGATCCCACGTAAAGTCCGTGCAAGGATCACAGTGGAAACTCTCCACTGACTGCAGTCCTACTTAGAGTCTGTACAGGTCCTCACTCTTGAAATACAGACATGCTTCATCCAAGCCAAGAGACAGCTGGGACATCCAGGATGATCTCTCGTCCTACATAGACTTTGGAGAGTTCATTGTGAGAGCAGCAGCTTGACATCTCCTGTACACACAATATCATGATATAGGATGGTGTGTTTGAGCTCAGGATTGTGGGAGAGTAAACACAGGTTTTCAGAGAAGCACACAATGGTAGGATTCCCCAACTGAAAGAGCGCAGGATCTCCCCATTATACAATCCCTCCGCCTTGCTCACAGTCACTTTTCTGTGCTAATGGAATAGTAGTCCTCCAGACAGTTGTATCACACAAGATATCTTGCTTATCCTTTCATGATCTGTCCTGAAGTTATCACTGGGGAAAGTATGTTAGGCTGGGTTCACACTTAGACGTATCGAATATGCGCGTTTGTCACGCGTTTCGTGTCGCGTGTTTGTCGCGCGATTTCGCGGTAAAAAACCGCGCGTTTCCGAGAGTTACTTGGCTGTATCCCAATGGAAACGCGCCACAAAAACGCCCCAAAGAAGCTCCTGTACTTCTTTGGGCGTAGGGCGTTTTGTAGCGCGTTCATACGGCCTGTAATACGCCCAGGTGTGAACCATGCCCATAGGAAATAATGGGATTTCGGTGTTTGAGCGATTTGCAGAGCATAGGAACGCGCTACAAAACGCCCAGGTGTGAACCGGGGCTTACCTGATAAGTAAAGAAAGTAATCAACTTCCCCACCCTCCTCAGGCTCACTGTATGCTAATGTTTAGCTAAAGCTCCTGTTAGCCAGCAAAGTGGAAGTGAAATTGCTCATATGTTTCAGCCTGTGCAGCCTTAATCGCGCTATGATTAAGTCCACACAGGCAGAAAGGTGTAAAGCTGCCCATACACCTTACAACCATCGCATGACTTTCGTTGTGCGATGGTTGTAAGGTGATTAAAATTTCGCACGACCTGCCCATCTTGGACAGGCAGATCATACTTGCGATCATCGCAAGCCCTCCCTGCTGAGGGGAGGGCTTGCCGATGATTGCAATGCTGAGCGGGCAGGCTTGCGCACAACAGCCCGTGCGGCTTTCGTCTTGCGATCTCGCTACCAACCGTAGCGTGCTCGTTAGACGAAAAATTTCTAGCATGCTCGTAAGACGAAAGTCGTGCAACCTTACAGTAGAAGAGGTCGCACGCTGCCCATACACCTGCCGATTATCGTACGATCGCGGGATCACCCACGATTATCGTATGATAATCGTCAGGTGTACGGGCACCTTTACAGTTGCTATTTTATTTTTTGTGAAAACAGTAATTTGTTTCAGTTTTGTGTCTGCAGTTTGTGTTGCTTGTTTTAGGTTGGAGAAAGCCTATCTTCAGTGAGATTCTTTCAAATAAATTGAATGTACTGTATATGTAAAGCCAAAATGTTTGGTTGGATGGACGGTGGAAGTGTTACAACCTCTGTCATTTTTGTATATTGTCTGTTTCCATGCTGGACTGTGAAATCCAAGATTTCACAGTTGTCACCAGAACTGGAAAAGTAGAAATATTTCAATGGGGACACCTATTCTGGTGGCAGCTATCGAATGCTGGCCATGCACTGGTAGATTTTTGTATGAACGTTCATATATTTGATAATGTCTCCAGTGGCTTGTAGAATATTGTTCAAAATGTCATTTGATTTTAACATTCAGTTTTAGAACGTGTGGAGTTTCTCAAACAAAAACCACATTCACTGTTTGAATCTTATTTGATCTTGATCAATCTCGATTGACCTGTCCTTCTATTTTTTTTTTCACTACGGTTGGAAACGATCATCGATTTGACTCCATTAACTATTAGAAAATTGAACAAACATTCCTACAACAAATTTTTCCGAATTATATTCTACTATTGTACGGCCGCTTTATAGGAGATATCACCTCACTTAGGAGAAACTTCCTCTTACTTCCTGTTGTTTTTCCAGAACAGAAAGGGAAAGTAAAAAACAACAACACCTAATGGGTTTAACCATTGTTTACATGACCCAATACTAAAAAAAAGAAGTGTTGTCTTTAATTATACTGTAAGAGGTAGGAACCAACTTTGCATTTTAGTTTATATTTTTGGGCTTGCTTGCTAACTCCAGATACTGAGATATACATGTTCCAAAATTATGCACATACAAATAAAATGCCTGTGTTGTATATTAACTGCTTAGAAACTTTATGGGGTGTATTTATAAGTAGTTTGCAGAGCCATTCATTCTTCAAAACTGGCATTAGCATTCTCTCTGTGCGAATAGAGCAAAGTCAAATGTTTTCCTGTTCTGAATGAATGTTATTGTCAGAAAATAACACATTATTATTTTTATTATTATTATATTACAGTATTTATATAGTGCCAACAGTTTGTGCAGCGCTTTACAATATAAGGAGGACATTACAAGTCAAGACGAGATGGCCACTAGATGGGACCAATGAGCATAGAAAAAAAACACTTATTTCTGTGCTCCTAGGTTTCATCTAGTGGCCAGATTGCGATATGTTCCGATAATGACATTCATTCTGCACAAGAAAACTTTCGACTTTGCTCTATTCACACAGAACCAATGTAAATGTTAGATTTGCAGAACAAATGGCTCTGAAAACATTTTATAAATACATCTAGTTATGTTATCAGACAGTAACATTTGTGTGAAGCTTTCAAATATATTTTTCCTCCTCTCCTTGTTCCACTTATCTCTTTCTGAGACAATTATTTTGTCTATTATGTTGGATTTTAAGTAAACTGTAACATAATATTTTTCAGTACTCCGTGGGAGGTTGCCTTAAAACAAATGGAGCCAGTGAGATTTAGTCCTCCAGTGAGCCAACAAAGATATGACTTTGTAATATCTTTTGTGGATAATTACAAACCGAAGAAGGTAAGTTTTTGTATTTTCCCACATTTATACATCCAGTTTTGCATGCTAAAGCAGCTCTGCATCTCGCTAAGGAGACATTGTTATATTCACAGTTTTATAGATCCTTAAAGAGTATCGAAATCCAGTTCTGCCAATAACTCACTTCCAGTCCTAAAATAACAGAAACTTACCCTACTGTATCAGGACAGTACAAACAGGGTAGGACCAGGGGACTCCACCCCCTATGCTATTGTCCATAACATTGAGGGGTGTGGTCATAAAGTTTTTGGCAAAACCATCAGCTATTTTTGCCAGTACAACCAGTTAAGGTAAGTTTCCAGGGTGTTCGATAGGATAGTAAACAGAATCAAAGGCACTTACGTGTCCATATTAGGGATGCAGTACGAGTACCGGTATTTTTCCCCCCCGGTACTCGCCGATACCAAATACCGATACTGAAATCCCTTCAAGGAAGCCAGGTGGCTGGTTTCCTGATTAGCCGGGAAGCTGGGTGGCGTGTAAAGACTCGCCACCCAGCTTCCCGATCACCAGGGAAGCCGTCTCCATGCTTCTCGTCACTAGGTGGCTCCATGCTTCCTCGTCATGAGGTGACGAGGGAGCATGAAGCCGGCTTCCCGGCCAATCAGAAAGCCAGGTGCCTCATCATTACACGGCGCCCGGCTTCCTGATTGGCCAGCTTCCTGACCATTCAGGAAGCCGGGCAGCGAGTCATTACACGCTGACTGTCTTCCTGATTGTCCAGGAAACCAGCTCCATGCTCCCTAGTCACTAGTGGGAGTATCGGAAGTATGGGGTTAGGTATTGGGGCATTTGGGCGGGTATGTGTATTTTTATGATAGTGTGATGTGATAGTGTAGAAATGTAAATGTTTCAATTTATTGTTATTTTTTTACACTTTACGCTATTTAAAAAAAACATTTTTTACACTTTTATTTTATTTATTTATTTTTAATTATATCAAGCAGCCATTGTGAATTGATCTCACTATGACTGCTTGATAATTTAATTGATTAATTTTTGGTTATTATTAGGCTGCTCCAAACCTAGGAACAGCTAATAATAACAACCTTAGTTCCTGATGTCAGGATCAGTGTCAGTAAAGGCTTCTGATCGTTCCCAGAACGATCAGAAGCTTGCAACATTGTTTCAGAATAGAAGCATGTAGCTTTCTATTCTGAAACACTTAGAAAAAAGCTGTACACATCAGGTTGCCAATCTGTACCAGCTGTCAAACAGTGACAGCAAGTGTGGTAAATACCGCTCTGCTATCACTATCAGACACCCGATTCCTGAAATACTAAGGCATCCACTAATGAATGGTAACCACTGATTCTCAGTGGTTACTGGCATTCCAGAGCCCCAAATAGCTTATCACATACAGTATAGTGTAATCAGATTACAACAGTCAACAGTGTAGATTACAACAGTTGCTGTTGTAATCTAGCTGCATACTTGCCAAGAGTGATACGATGCAGATTGCTATGGCACTATATAGCTTGTTGGTGATTTTAAACCTGCTGGATAAGTGTTCAAGGTGCTCTAGAGACAAAGCAATAATTTTGCCACTTTACAAAACTCTGGTTCGGCCTCACCTTGAGCGCTGGTATCAGCTGCAGTGGCGGAACTACCGCCAGTGCGGGCACACCAGGGTGTGTCCCAGCGCCGGATTGGTACCCATTGAGGAGAGAAAGTGACAGCCGGCCGAGCGCTGCGGGAGGAGCGCTGTGTTTGTGGGTTTTTTTGGATGGGCGGGGCCCAAAAAAAATCTTGCACCAGGGCCCTTTGTTCTTTAGGTCCGCCACTGATCAGCTGTGAGCATTAAATCATTCAAGAATTAGATTAGATACTTTCCTAAGAGAACAGAATATAAAGGGTCACAGGTACTCATAAAGAAGAACTATGGGACGAGTGAATTACATTAAAATGGTACGCCTCTAGATAGGCAGAGACCACTGTCAATCAGCCAGCTGGGTGGATCTCGACAGTATTGTCAGAATCTGTCCCGGCGTTCTCAGCATATAGCGGGCTATACTGAGCTTTGGGTCACGGGAGGAGATTAGTATATGTTCTCCCCTGAACCTAAGAATAACTATGGGGAAAAAAGGTTACCCCATAGTTCTCCTTTGATGACTGGAAACAAACTCATGCTCACATAGGTTGAACTCAGTAGACCTATGTCTTTATTCAACCTCAAATACTAAGTAACTACTGTATGTATACTATGTAAATCTGGACACTTTTATTGATTATCTGTTGATTTATGTGAACTTATCATTTATTATATATGTATATAAAATTTGTTTAACTGAGTGGCCAGATTATTATGACCACCTGACGTTTGTAGGCAAATTAGCTATAATTTCGCGCTGAAGTTGCTAGAGGGCCAGACCATTATAAATAGAGAAGCAGATTGTTTACCATGACAGTAGAAGTGATTTTTTTCTGAAGATATGGGGACAACAGAAGGGCAACAGTGCAGTGTCAGATTCCTCGCATCACCTTTCAACATCTCGTGGAGTCACGGGGCGGCACAACGAATAATCTGGC